GTTTCGGATTGGGGAGAAGGGGAAGGGGATGATGATGGTGTGGCGGGTGAATGTGGCGAGATCGAGGAAAGACGGACTTGCTTGACCTTACCAAACACAGTGTGGTTTAGGCCGAGGTTTTTGGAATGGGAGCTAGTGATAGTTTGAGCAAGCTGCTTCAACCTTGAAGAGCTACCGAATGTGAGGAGAACAGAAGAATGAACGATAGTAGGAGGTGCCACCGTTGAGCCTCTGGAATTTGACAAGGTTATGTACAAGTTCTGCAATTCAACAAGAGAGAATTTTAAGATTCCAAAACAATTAGAAAGAGAACTGATCTCGTGAAATCAGAAATGTCATACCTCGTAGGGAGCTAGATTAATACCCTTCTTCAGCTGGCTAGTGAGTTCCTCGAAGTTTGATTGTATTTGGTGAATCGAGAAGTTTAATGTGAAGTTGAAGAGAAGCTGCGCCTTCTGCAAGGGAAATATAGGCTGAGGAGGTATCACAGTGATTCCACCAGGGAATTTCAGCACCTCGAAAAAGAATGGTTGCCCGAACAAGGATTCAGTCAAGCGGAAAGAAAACTGCTTTTGGACCAGAGTTTCAAAAGCTGCCTTGACCAGACTCTCAATTTCAGCAGGTATCTTAGAATTCTTCTTCTCGGGATCAACAGCAAAAATAACCATTGATCTGTTAAGATCACCCAAGGGTTCAAGCGCTAATACCACAACCTGGCTCAAGAAAAAGAAACAGAAGTTACAGAATGATCAACATGGAAACAATGAAATCCATGCAAGTAAGATAAAAATGGAAGCTTAGTTACTTTGGTCATGGGAAGGCTTATTTCATCGGTGATATCATTCTCAAGCTGCAACAAATTTTCTTCCAAGAACGAAACTGGCTTTTCAACATTAAAACTCGCCACTATTCTGTGATCTGCAAAAGAAACAAAAACCAAAAAGCTACATTGTTGCTCCATCATGAAACATAGAGACATCACGATCCAAGTTCTGATAGGTAACACACAAAAAATGATGCTCCAGAGGGCGAGCGAATAAACAAAAGAAGACAGAGAAAAATTATACAATAAATCGCAGAGAGTAAGTTATATAATCGAAACCAAAACGTCTTTGGCTGCTCAAGCAAAGCAGTATCACTTGAGGAAATGTGTTTGCACTGCTTAGTTACACAATAAACTATGCACCCACTAGGTCTACGTTCTTAATCGATTCGACTAACCCGCTTTGTAGATTGTATAGTAACAAAAACAAAATGGAGAAAACGATTTTGGTGAACTTAATTAACCATAAACGGAAACAAAAACATTGATTTCATGCAACATTCTGAGCCAGATTCATATATACATCACCAGTACTGAGTAAACACTAAATCGATATTTGCCATAGCCAAGCTTAAAACAAGATTCTGAAACATTTATAGAAATCCCACCTTTTAGGCAGAGTTTTGATTCAAACTACAATACTAAATATAGAGTTCATAGTGCCACCTTATTGACTCATGAACCACACAATATTTGCATCTAACTTTCAACATCATTCATATAATCTATAAAGAAAACGCCTAAAATAGCCATTTCTAAGTCCAAAGTCAATGAAAATATACATTCCCTACATCATCTCC